CCTTGGCCGAGTCTCCGACGGCCCGCCCCTCCGAGCCGGGGGAGGTGGGAGGAGGGGGCCGCCCCTCCGGGTGTACGGCTTTCTCGTTCAAGGCGCCTCCCAGGGCCGGCTTCAGCGGGGTTAGAACCGTCTTCACCCGAGCAAACGCCCCCCAGGGCGGGGCGGGGGTGGGAGGAGGCGGCGGGATTAGCCTGACAGCCCAGGAGAGGGGCCCTGGGGAGCGCCTCAGCCTGGTGGGCCCTGCGCTGCCCCCGAGCTGGTTTTCAAGTGTCCATCAGGGACAGTTCAACATGGAATAATTTCTCTTGTCCCGGCCTTTTCTTCTCCTTTCAGACTGCCTCCTTCCCTGTTGGTATAGAGAACAGCCATTTTTTTTCTCCTGGAAATGCAGCTCTAAAATATTTGCAGCAAGAAAACTGCCCGAATTGCGGATGGGGAGGGTCCTGGTTCCCTTATCTCATTCACATATTTCTTTAAATGTCATTTTCCTTCTCAGGAAGGCCAAGTTACTTAAAAATATCACCCCTCTTTCTCCGATACTCTCCAGATGCTTCCTTACTTTATAAATACCTTGTAACTCTGCGTCATTTACTCATTTGTTTTTCTGCTCCCCCTTCACCTCCCCCCAACATACACTGAAATATATGCTTCACGGAAGAATTTTTTGTTTTTGTCTTTCTTGTGCATTACTGTATTCCAACTCAGAAGAGTTCCTGGCACATAGTAGGTGCTCAGCATACATTTGCAGGATAAAAAATGATTGAAAGTGACAGGACACGGGAGGTAGCATGGGTAAGAGAATTTGCCTGCCTAATACACTTAGACACTTGGGAACATGGCAGGGGTGGCTGCCCTGCAGGGACTGTCTGATCCTCCCCCAGCCATCATACCCTCCCCAGTACCCGAGCAGGACAGGAGCTCAATGTGTTTGTTGCGTGAATGGCAGATCTTAGGCATTCAAGGCAATTCTAGTGTCCTGCCCTGGAGAAGTTGTATGCACTCATTGGTCGCTCAAGGCTAGGGTTGTCATCCATGTCTTTTCATGATGGAAAGGAAGAAAGGTTGGTTAGAAAGAGACAGATATGATGTATGCTCCGGAATTATCAGTGACCATTTCTTTTCTCTCTGGCTGAAGGCGATGGGGTGGGAATTCTCATTGTTAAGAGGGGGACTGCTCCCTTGACTGAGCCACTAGTGATTCAGATCAGTCCCCCCGGAGAGAGCAGACTGTTCAGCTGACAGAGGGGCAGGAAAAAGCCTGATTCACCAGGGAGTGCTGAGTGCGTCTGGG